GATGCGTTCAATTACCTAGTGTAGCAACAGTTCCTATATCACTTGTAGCATTTCATTGGTCCATCATTCCCTTTCTTGCTCACATATATTGAGAGGGAGAGGCCCAAAAGAGCATGGGGGAGTTAAAGTTAGCATTGGGGGGGATTCAGGCTCCCCAACAGTCTACAACGCTGCACCACTAAATGTCATATTTGCGTCAACCTGAGATACTGAGGTTGTCTTGCACGATGCTATATAACATAAGTGTTCTTACAATCTGTTTAAGAAAATGGCGGCAGTCTTAAAACAAAGTAGTGCCGTTGGACCAAAAAGCGTTTTTGATATGGGTAAATGGGAGCTCCGATAACATTTCCCCGACGATTGACGATTTCGATAGAATTCACAGATTGAAAAATCTGAAAATCTGGAGTATTTCAGGCAGAGGAGCAAGCCGGCGGTGCATCCCAAACCAGGCAGGCCGAATACCGGCAAATTGGTACGCGCACGGTACAGACCCGTGACCAATTCCAGATGAAATGTGTAATTATTTATGAATCACAACAGTTGTTGATGAGTCGCACGTGTATCGACTCTTTGGTAAACAAATTAAGTGTGAAAAGTGAATGGAATAATTTGCTCTACTAGCAGGAGTTGATCTGCACCAAGCAAGGTGAACATAAAGGTCAAATGAATAGATTACATATTTTTAAAGCATGCAAACATTATCAGGTCAGCATGCAAGTATTGCATGTGGGATAAATCAGTGCTGACATAATCCGCACTCTGGGACGACTTGAATGAGACATGAACAATTGAATTGGTATGTGAATTGACGAAGAACCGATCCCCAACAGACAACACTGTGACATGAATCACGCCCGAGTCGTTCAAGAATGATGATGAATCAGTGGTGAATCGCTCCTCACAGCTTTTATTCGAACACAGGACTGGCACAGCAGCATGCCATCCTTAATGGTCCTCTGCACTTTCAAGATGAACCCACTGAAAGCCGACCCCATTGAAGTGTGGATCAAAAGGCACAAGTCGCCAAACAAAATGCATCTAGTTTACTTTACCCAAGCGCATGCTGTGGCCTTCCTAGTCAATCCAGTCGCTGTAATAGCACTACACATCACTGGTAACGACCCATTTATCCCTTTGAGAATGGCATGCCCTTCATTCTGCGTGGGTGCAGCGCCATTTTGATCTGGAAATATCGCGGCGCCCTGCAGCTCAGCAGCAAACGTTTTGCCTTTACTTCACTTCAGTTGAACGGCGAGGGAAAGTGCTGTTCGAATGCGTCCGGCTCAAGCACAGAACATGCCAAATTTCACGCATGTACGTAGCCGACCCACCGGTCTGACGCACGCTGAGCTTCTCCTCTGACCACTTGGCTGGAGGTCGCCGCGTCCAGCGCGTGCTCGCTTGGCAGTGCTCACGCCGACATGCATGGCTCGCATCGATTCGTTGTGAGCGAATGTATCTGAGCAGCCATGCTTGCATGAACGATATCAGGTCGTGCGTGGGACTTGATGCGCAGCCGACATAAGCTCGAAGTCAATAAGGTACATTGTGAGTGACCCGCACCCGGTCACCGCGACTCCGTTCCATCGACCAGCGAGAAGACTGCATTCAAAATCAACATGGTATGCATAATACTTGGCTCGGCTACAATCGCGAGGGCCCACCAAAGCTTTCGTATCTGTATATAGGTATATTTCGTTAGCTATGATAAACCGAAAGAACACACACATACAGACACATATAACCGGTCCACTAATCCACTGATCATGGACATGATTGCACACTTCGCGCCCGTGGCAACAGCACAATGCAGTTCGGCCGACGCTCAGGTACGCCCGAGAAGTACATCAGATGTGTGAGTACTAAAATCAGTGATGACAGTGATGACCATGCAGTGATGATCATCACTCGTAGATAACAATGGCATTCGTGTGTATGGCGTCTATGCTTAATCGTTCACAATCATATTGTCGACGCATTGTTGCAATACATCACCAACCTGCTGGCAACCGCCCCCTGACAGGCGTCCCATCCAAAAAGACGGCTGCGTCGCATGACGCTACAGGAGCCCACGAGCGCACTCAGCGCCATCACCGCCTCGACTCAGACACGCGCACGGCCCCACCTTACCGCTAACGACTAGCTCAGACCACAGCAGGCACCGACGACCGCCAGCTGGCGGCCGGCCGCCCGGTACCGTCCCGGCCGACAGTTTGTACTGAAGGGGATCCTGAGAGGGCCGCCGGCCGGCCGCTACCGGGCCGGTCTCCTGCCGCTGCCGCCGCAGCTGCCGCCGCCGCTGCCGCCGCCGCCGCCACCGCCGCCGTCGTCGGCGCCGCGCGCCAGCGGCGCCGGCAGCTGGAACAGCACGTCGGGCGGCGCGGCGCCGGGCGCCGAGAGCAGCATGCGAGGCAGCGGCGCCGCGCCGGCGCCGATCGTCGGCGCCGCCAGCAGCCTGGCATCGGCGCGGGGCGGCGCCAGCGCGCCGAGTTCTGCCATACCGTAGCGCGGCCCGGCGCCGGCCGGCGACGACAGCGGGGGGCGGGGCGACGGCACAGCGCTGCAGTTGGCTAGCAGCAGCTCGTTGATCTGCGCCAGCTCCTGTTGCTGCTGGCAGATCTTCTGCTGCAGCTGGTGGTGCTTCCACAACAGACTGTCCCGCACTTGTCGCTGCGTGTGCACCACGCTCGCCTGCTCGGGCACCAGCTGCAGCTGCTGCGACACCGGCTCCTGCTCCTGCAGCCGATGGTGGTGATGCTGCTGCTGCTGACGTTGTTGCAGCTCATCCTGCTGCTGCTGCTGCTGCTGCTGCTGCTGCTCCTGCTGCTCTTCCTCCTGATGCTGCTTCTGCCGCTGCTGTTGCTGCTGTTGTTGTTGCTGCCGTTTTTGTTGCTGCTGTTGTTGTTGCTGCTGTTGCTGTTGATGCTGTTGATGCTGCTGATGCTGTTGTTGCTCTCGTTGCTCCTGCTGCTCCTGTTGCTGCCGCTGTTGTTGTGTTGTTGTTGTTGTTGTTGTTGCTGCTGCTGCTGCTGCTGCTGGTGCTGCCGTTGTTGTTGTTGTTGTTGTTGTTGCTGCTGTTGCTGTTGCTGCTGCTGTTCATGCTGCTGCTGTCGTTGATGCTCCTGCTGTTGACGCAGCTGCTGTTGCTGTTGTTGTTGTTGCTGCTGCTGCTGCTGCTGCTGCTGTTGCTGCTTGCTGCTGCTGCTGCTGCTGTTGCTGCTGCTGCTGCTGCTGCTGCTGCTGCTGTCGCTGCTGCCGCCGTTGCTGTTGTTTGTTCTTTGTGATGTTGTTTGTGCTGCCGCTGCTGCTGCTGCTGCTGCTGCTGCTGCTGCTGCTGCTGCTGCTGCTGCTGCTGCTGCTGCTGCTGCTGCTGCTGCTGCTGCTGCTGCTGCTGCTGCTGCTGCTGCTGCTGCTGCTGCGGCGGCGGCGGCGGCGGCGGCGGTTGCTGTTGCTCCTGTTGCTGCTTTTGCTGTTGCTGTTGTTGTTGTTGTTGCTGTTCATGCTGGTGCTGTCGCTGCTGCTCCTGCTGTTGATGCAGCTGCTGTTGCTCCTGCTGCTGTTGGGCCGGAGACTGGACGCAGTGCACGCTCATCGGGCTCAGCACGCCCTCGGTCTTGCAGAGTGCGCCGATCGTGTCGTCGGCCAAGCTCGACAGGTAGAGACTGTCTGCCGGCGACGGGAGCGACGCCACAACCGGCGACCACAGCGGGTCGGTGTCTGCCGGCAGCTGCAGCTCAGGCGCCGCCGTCGGCGTGACGCAGCGCAGCTTGTGCCGCTGCTGGTGCGCCTGCACCTCTGCGTGGCTAACAACCAGGTGCGTGCACACAATGTTTTCAGGCTTCGAGTTCCATTGGTGGTAGGTGATGTAGTACTTCGTCTGAAGCCATAGCCACTTCTGGCCCTTGATGAGGAACCGATAGTAGCAAGAGGTGCCCTGGCCGACGCGCATCAGCTGCTGGTGGCAATCGGCCACGCCGTGGAGGTCGTCGCCGTGACAGTAGTCGTACACCGACGTACCGAGCACCTCCATGGCCGAGTAGCCGATAAGGTGGGACGCGCGGTGGTCCAGGAACAGGAACTTCCACTCGAGGCTGTGACGCGACGTGAACTCCTTCTTCCAGTGGTCGGCCGGCACCAGCTCGCGCACCAGCTGGCACGCCTGCAGCCGACAGATGCCGATGTAGACGGCGCCGGACGCCTCCAGCGGGCCGGTCGCGCCCACCGCCGGCTGGTGCACGTGGCCGGCCAGCTGGACCAGCTCGTACTGCGGTCCCCCACCGCCGTCGCCGCCGTCGCCGCCACCAGCGCAGCCACGGCGCAGGTGCAGCATCAGCGAGAAGCGGCCGGGCTCGGCGCCCTCCAGCTGTAGCGGCACACCCCGACTTAACAGGTCATATAGCGCCGCGCTCTGGTCGGCCGGCATCAGCTCGTACAGCGACTGGAACAGCACGTCCTCCGGCAGCAGCGTCAGCAGCGATGTCACGTTGTCGCTCACGTAGAGGATCTTGCCGAGGTTATTGAAGACGAGAATGAAGGCGTCTAGGCCCTCCAGCATCAGCTGCGTGAACTCATCGTTGGTGAGTAGCGACGGTTTCCATTCCTCGGGCGCGTCGTCATCGTGGCCGCGCGCCGACATCTCGTGGTGCGCGCGCAAGAAGCCGATGGTGGAGCGCAGCACGGCCGACTTGTCCATCTTGCGGCCGGCGCCGCCCACCATCCGCGCCAGCTCGTTGACCAGCACATTGAACTGATCGCGGCGCTTCTTCTCGTTGGTGTTGCGCGAGTGTCGCTTGTTCTCGTCGCGCTCCTCCAGGTCGGAGCCGGACATGATGGCCGGCGTGTCGTGCGCGGCGCAGCGGCTCCGACCGCGCCCCTCCGTGCCCGGACGGCGCGCCGCCTCAGCCAGCGCCGGCCATCGTCCCGGCCGCGTGTCCCGACGCAGCGCGCGCCACCTGCGACCGCCCGACGGCCGGGCCTAGCCTCACACGGCCGGGTCACCGAGCGGCTCGGCGGCCGTCCGTCAGACGACGGGCCTCGGCCGGGTTACAGACACAGACACGCACTGCTCGCGGGGCCGGTCAGGCCGCGCCGCACTCCGCACGTCCCGTCTGCCAGTCCACGCGCACCGCACACAGTCTACCTAGCGGATGCGGGCCGCACTAGCGAGGTCCGCGTTCACTTCCGTGCGCCCACCGACAGCGAGATGCGCTTCATCCAGCCCTGGTCCAGCGTCTCCAGCTGCTGCAGGAACTCGTTGGTCATCAGCTGGTGGCACTGGTCCACGCTCAGGCCCGAGCCCGTGCCTGCGGACAGAGCGTCATGCGTCACAGCGGGCCGGCGTCAGCCCAGCGAGACATACGACCAGCGGAGGGCCACCAAATATACATATAACCAGCGGAGGCCCAACAGCGAGACACACGATCAGCGGGGGGGGGGGGGGGGGCACCAGAGTGACACAAGACCAGCGGAAGGCCGCCAGCGAGACACGCGACAGGCGGAGGGCTACCAGCGAGACACGTCCAGCCGAGGGCCACAAGTGAGACATACGACCAGCCGAGGGCCACCAGTGAGACATACGACCAGCCGAGGGCCACCAGCGAGACACGACCAGCCGAGGGTCACCAGCGAGACACGTGACCAGACGAGGGCCACCAGCGAGACACGACCAGCCGAGGGCCACCAGCTAGACACGACCAGTCGAGGGTCACCAGCGAGACACGTGACCAGACGAGGGTCACCAGCGAGACACGTGACCAGACGAGGGCCACCAGCGAGACACGACCAGCCGAGGGCCACCAGCGAGACACAACCAGCCGAGGGTCACCAGCGAGACACGTGACCAGACAAGGGCCACCAACGAGACACGACCAGCCGAGGGCCACAAGTGAGACATACGATCAGCCGAGGGCCACCAGCGAGACACGACCAGCCGAGGGTCACCAGCGAGACACGACCAGCCGAGGGTCACCAGCGAGACACGTGACCAGACGAGGGCCACCAGCGAGACATGACCAACCGACGGCCACCAGCGAGACACAACCAGCCGAGGGTCACCAGCGAGACACGTGACCAAACGAGGGCCACCGCCTGGTCGGTGAGCTCGCTTGCACTGCGATGCGTTAGAGTTGCGTGAAAACAGCGTTATCGAACAAACACCAACCACACCGTCAAGAAACGACGAAATGGAATTAATGCTCCTGGATTTATCCATTACGCCCTCCACAGTAGCTGGCAAGGTCACCCGGCGACTGGTACACGAGGACTGGCATGAAAAAATGGTGTGAGAAAAGGAATGGTGCACTGGTACACGAGGACTGGCATGCCAAAATGTGTGACAAAAGGACTGGTACACTGGTACACGAGGACTGGCATGCCAAAATGTGTGACAAAAGGACTGGTACACTGGTACACGAGGACTGGCATGACAAAACCGTGTGAGAAAAGTCTGCCGAATTCGCTGACCACAATCCTGAGGCGGCTAAAAACGTACAGCGTGGCGCAATGGCTGGCCTATGGTGACGGCCCGGCCAACATATGCAGGGTACATACAGTTGAAATTCAATTCCACCTTAACCTTTCGCTGGCTGTCGCTGTTGGGCGTCAGAGGTCAAGAAGGCTCCCGAAAGATCAAAGGATTCCATTGAAATGTCACACTTGGAAATTGCCAGCATACAACAGAGGCATACACTCAAAGCTGTTGGTCCCAGACCGAGACCTCACGTGACATTCAATTTCATACTGACTGACGCGAATTAATAAATAAAAGGGCAACGTGTTTCTGTGAAAAAAGGACGTCACCATATCAAAAGCAAGTATTCAAGGGTTGCAAAAACGACACCTTTGAAGAACACGTAAAAACGCAAGCACGGAAACACCGATTAAATTTCTTGGCCCAGTCACCCCGCTGCGCCACGGTGACAACGCCACGGCGATTAACTTGCAAGTCCAAATCAACGCTAAAGTTAACGCCCCGCGTTTCTCTGGTTCTGCGGCTAGCGCCGCTTCGGGAAGGAACTGCCAACGCGGGGAGACCCTCCACAACTGTCCACCATACTCAGTGCCGCCGGAGCTGAAAACGGCTGTAGAGGACACTGCCTTCGCAGCATGCGAGACGACCCGCTACTAGCGCTCCTAGCGGCCAAGTTCGGTACTGATGCCCGCCCGGCCGGCCGTAGCCAGCGCCGGCTATTATCAGACCGACTGACTTTCAAGTTCGTTCTTTCCTGAAACATTCGTTACATCACGCGATGCGCGAAGGCATGGTGAGTCCCAAGCCTCACGCATTTGGGAACAATGCCTATATTTTTATTGACAACATGTCTTACATGGCAACAACATGAATACATGTCTTTTTCTGATAGTAACGTAAGGCAGCAATGACCTACGACGTCCCCGGGATTTTTAAAAAAGATCCGCATGCTATCATATGCTATCATGTTTAGACACCGTTGGGGTATTGTTGTGCCCAGATTGATGGAAACCGGTGGGGTGAGATTTCGAGAAAAAAGATGGGAGAGACTGCTCTCTCTCTCTCTCTCTCCTCTCTCTGCTTCTTCTCCTACTCGCTCTCCTTCCTCTCCCTCTCCCCTCTCTCTCCCTCTCTCTCCTCGCATCTCTCCTCTCTCTCTCCCTTCTCTCTTCTCCCTATCTCTCCTCTCGCCTCCTCTCCCTCTCCCCTCTCTCTCCTTCCCTCTCGCTCCCTCTCCCTACCCCTCTCTCATCTCCTCTCTCTCCTCCTCCCCTCTCCCTCTCCCTCTCTCCTCTCCTCTCTCTCTCCTCTCTCTCTCTACCTCTCTCTCTCCTCTCTCTCTCTCCTCTCTCTCTCTCTCTCTACTCTCTCTCCTCTCTCCTCTCTTCTCTCTCTCTCTCTTCTCTCTCTCTCTTCTCTCTCTCTCTCTCTCTCTCTCTCTCTCTCTCTCTCTCTCTCTCCTCACATTCGACAGCATGGCACAGTATGACGGGCGTAGCCACCTTCAAAAACACGGCACAGTGTAACAGGCATGGCCACCAAATCCCGCTGGTGGCGACTGCTGGGAGCTCCTCAAGTACGCCTATGGCCAAGACCCAACTACTCAGCCCAAATCGTGACCAGGAATGTGATGTGCTGCAGCAGACGGAGCGGGCGCCGAGCAGCAGGTCACCATGGATACGTTCAATATGGTTGCATCTTCTGGCTCCACGGAAAATAGAGGACAGTCTCGACGATGGAACGCCTAAAAGCATCATGGAAGATTTGAACCAACTTCTGCATCATGGCCAACCTGCTCAAAGAATAGCGATGTCGTAGCGGACAATTCTTTGACCAACTCACTCAGAACAATACCGCAGCATTACAGTGGCCATGCGTTTGCACATTCCTCGTCACTGAGATGCTGATTCAAACCGTAGATGACGCGACATCGGGGTCAGAATCGCAGCCAAGCCTACGCGTATGTCATAACAAAGATCCCGACCACGCCAATGACATTCTTCTGCCCATCGCTTGCTCAACCGGCTGACCAGACATCCACGCTATCCAAACGGTTAAACTTTCGATCAAGATCAAAACGCATGGTCTGTCTGACACCCTGTAGGATGTGATTGTCTTACATACCCGCCCCGCTGTTCGAGATGCCTCTCTGTGCCATGTCATAGCTTCAAAATGGTAAAGCAGCAAAACTAAAGACGTTTTGTGATACCACACCAAAGAAGATGGCGATTTCGTCGAACCGCATACGCCATCCATTTAGCGAAAGTATAATTCACAGATGCAGAGGTTCTTTATGCTGACATAAAGAGCCTCTGCAACCAAAAACCTTCGCCACTCTTGATCCGAATTCGGCCGCCAATAGCACAGGCTCGTCACTGAAGAACTGGGGTGACAGTGTGGGATGGGATAGCTCAGAGCTGACAGACACAACACATGAACGAGAAGTAGAGGTATGAGGGCCATGCTTTATTTCCATGCCAGAATGGGAGCTTATCACCGATCGATGCTTAGATGGTCAGCGAAAACAGCGCATTTGAAACCTGATGCGTGATATACTGTGTTCACTTCGTAGATAAAGAGAGGCATAAGCATAACCATTTAGCTAAAGCATACCAAAGGGCGGACCCCATTGGGGGAGGGGAGTCCAGGCACCCGTTTGGTGCCCGTAACTTAAAACCACACTGGGTAATCTTCGATAAAAACAGAACAATAACAGTGCGCCAGTGTTCAGGACGCAATTTTTCAGTCAGATATTGCATTTATAATACCTACAAGTATAAAGCACATTAATATGGCACTTCAGTTTGCTTTGATTATTAATAAGATCCATGGGGGAAGGAATGTGAACAGTTGTGAATGGTCTCCGATACCACTAACGTACGAAAATGCATGCGCATCACATCGAGAGGTGACCATTTGCTTGAAGCAGGCTTTACCAAAGGAAGAAATATTATCAATAAGTGGACCCACATACACAGAACTCCAATATGCAATTTAGGCACACCCCTCACAAAAAGTCGTCTGACATTTCAACTTCTTTCACTACCAAAAAATCGCTTTCATACATATTCCCCGCGTCAACGCCAAGCCTGCCTCGGAAGAAGTGGTTCTTGGCACTGACACGGCAAAGCCAGACGCATAGCAACACTGTAATGCCACACGCTATGCTTTTTCTGTTCAGAGGCCAGTGTGGCGGTAGCCTGCTGGCCGGATGTGGCGGCTGCCACGGCGTAGTTCCCCCGCGGTTCGTCGCAATTTACGCCGGCAGTCCCGTCGCGACGGCAGTGTCTGAACATGAAGCTGCACTTTTGCCTCATTACATCCCACGTACCCTTTATTTTATCGTGTCTGTTACCATATCACGTTTGCGGGCATATTATGGTACATTGCGGACATTAGGGCGAAACCTTTAGCCTTCATATGAATACCATCACCTTACTAAAACTGAAGTCGCGACACGTTTGGAAACGGCTTCCCAATCCACTCCAGCCCGTACGTACTGAACGGTGCCCGGTACTCGTAGTTTCTTGACAAGAGCAGAGGTTCATACCACCTGTTATAGCACATGGGTCGGGGCGGCCCGTTTGGCGACCGAGAGCGCTTCTCGTCCGACCCTTGCACAGCAAACCGGGCCCATCGGCAGTCCCCGGCGGCAGCGCTGACCAGAGCTCAGGCCGGAAACTGATCCACCACTCTCCATGTGCATAGCTTCTCCTTCTTTCCTGTGCTAGTTTCACTGAAGAATCAATGAAAACACATTCTCCACATAATGTAGAACCTATTTTCACTAACCTTTCAAAGGTCTAAAAAGGAAACAAATCAGTGCCACAGGAC